TATTATATGATCGCCCTCCTTTGAGATTAAATAAGGTATCAAACGATTCCATCACAAAGCGGGTAAAGTTTCGTTTACCCAATAAAAATAGTATCTACCGATAACCACAAAAACCTAACAACCCTCATAGTAGGAAGAAAAACCATCCATAACGTCATATAAATGTCGTACGGTCATATAACCACGACCTTAAGGTGAGAATTCTTTCTTTCTCTTTTACCGTGACACAAATTTTTTCGAATTACCAAACTTTAGTAATGACGGCTAGAAATATAAGTATATATTTTGAATCGACCCACCATCAAATAATTCAACCTTAACCTTCATCAGCGGATTTCTCACAACTCCAGAAATTCTTTTACCAGTTTCGTAAATTGCAATAGGTTAAAAAACAAACACACTTAACACTTAACCTCTAAAAGAACATAGACTAATAACGGTTATATATCCAACTCTGCAATAATTTCACTTAGAATGATCTGTATTATATGAGACTTATACAACAATAATATGTATTTTCTTTTAGTTATTATAATACCACGCCTACCAAAATACTGTATTCCTCTCACCCCTAAATACCTATTAATAGCCATCCCCGAATAGCATAATAATGCAATAAAAAATCGAACATAAAAACGAACAAAAAAGCTATGAATCGCGGCTTTATTACTATTTTTATGTAATACTAGCGACCTTCCCCGGCACGGGTGCGATATATTATACATATAAATCTTCCTCTCGAATCACTCTATCTAGTAAAAAAACCGCATCAAGATACGTTGCGTAGTTTTAAAAATCTAGGCATACATAGGGACAGACAGACAGCGGGACGACTTTGTTTTATACTATGTAGTGATCTGTAACGTTTTGAAGTTACAGAGAAATTAATAATGCTGAACACTTTGCAGTTTATACCCCCTCAGGTAACTTACACCATTTCTTATCTCCATTAACTCACGCCCTTATCCCACATTAGGCGGTGTCGGCACGTGTCCATAATTTATTTTCGGAACCATGTTGTTTTTTCAGTTATTTGCTTTATTCTTATAACCGGCCGCCTGCCTGGCGTCATCTTATACCATTTATAGAGCACACACATTTAACATAATGCCATTGAATCACGAAGTTGCACGCCGCTGCCTTAAATAGCGAACTCAGAAAACACACTGCGTTTTTCCCGACCCCCAAATAAACAAAGTTTGAATTGTTTTAAAGTGATATACATTAATTTATCTTAATACAGAACTTTCAATAAATCTATGATGTAACGTCATATCAATTAAAAACGCACTGAACACATTAATGTCGTTTAAAATTTTTATAGGACTACATATATATATATAAAAAACCTGAGATATAATATGTATATATATATATATATATATATATATATATATATATATATATTATACATATTATATCTCAGGTTTTTTATAAAAATATTACAATTTTCATAATATATCATCTTGACTAATTAAACACAAAATACTTTTAGGTACTGTAACGCATAGACAGAATTTTTACCGACAACGATAAGAACTTAAGTTACAGTTAAATATACGTATTTTTTATGTCGTTGAGGATATTTTTTACACTTTATTCAGATAGAGTATGTATATAAAGTCATGGAAACAGATTGAATGCAATCCATAGACAAATAAATTTCATTTATATATACATAGATAATTTGGGTATTAAGACACTACAGCAGGTTAAACAGGAGCCAGATTAAATTCCTAGGCGATGTACTAACTCCAGAATAATTCAAGACACTGAATCTACTATATGTACAATACACAACTTGGAAGGCATAAGAATTTCGCACTAAACATGCGTAGTCTTGGATAGATACGAAGAGCGATCTTTTACGCAAATTAAGCGAACTATTAAATCGATAATATCGCTATTAGTTATTTATACATTTATTTCTGTCGTCCCCTCTATCGCGGATCAACTACTGATTTATAATTAAAGTTATACAATTTTTAATCTACGGTTAAGTTTCCGTTCAAGATATCAATTTCCAAAGTTCAAGAGATCATTAGTGAATATATAATTCTCTCGCGTTTTAAATTATTTTATAATGGAAAAACTAACTAACGAACGAAAATCAAAAGATTAAACACACTAATTACGTGCAAACGGGAATTTTTTATAATTAGGACGTTTAAATTAATAAATAAATCGTAATAAAACTGTTGCACGAATGGGCAAGACATTCCGGGGAAGCCCCCGGCCTCGAGAATACCGGATTGAGCAGGAAATATTTCTACTGTTTCGTTTCTGGGGCCACATCTCTGAGTAACGTTGCCTCTTTGGAGGTTCTACTTTTAAGGTTGTCAACGCACCTGGATTTGTCTAGTTAATCAAATGTTCTCTCAATACTCTCGAAATCGATTTGAGGCTTCTTGTTATGTGTTGCACATTGTTTCGAATCTATCGGAAATTTCCTCCAAATCAGTAATAATAATAATATGTTTAATTCTCACCACAATGCGTCATTACAAATGATGATGTAATTAGCTTTAGATATCGTGGGGACTGATGCATTAAGTTAAACTGTAGGCTTACTTTATCGGGTCGTTTGACACCTAACCCTTATAAATTTCAGTGTTCAATATTAAATCAACCGTTTATGAAGTTTAAAAGGTGTCTAAGAGTGTGACTTCTAAAACGTAGATTTTACTTGGTTAAACAAAGAAAGTTAGTATTGAAATGTTAAAGTTTACATTAAGAAATCTTCATTTTTTTATCTCAAATAGTCGCAGAAAATTATTAAATAACGAATATCTGCATGTCATATATTATGGCTGAACTTGCGAGATCAATACTTGGGAACCAGCTTTGTAATCTTCGTAAAGTTTAAAGTCAAATAATAGTCAAATAATATCGTAAAGTTTAAACTCAAATATTATTATTAAAATTTAAGAGTATTTTCTTCTTTTGACGCGGTCTTTTCGATATAACAGAAAAAAAACATTTTATGTCACAGAGTTTGACATTGCCCATATGTCTAAACGACGCAGCTAAGACAGAACTACTTTTCACATTTGACATTCATGACAAGAGTAGAGAATGCCATTAGGCATTAAGTCCGCCCATTACAGCCCTTAGCCTAAGGCATAAAGATTAAGTTTAAATAAATAAATAAATTTTATGACAATTTAAATTTTAATCTCGATTAGCCAAAAAAATTTTATGGCTAATCGAGGCAGGTGATGCAGAACAAACACTCAGACTAACAAATCAAATAACCAGAAATCAAATCGATGACAACTATTTCACCTGTACTTGCTTAACCACAAATTAAGCCTCATTTAAAATCAGCACATAAAACGTTACTTCGCATCAATATTACAAATGAGTTTTATTATGCGACATTGTTTTTTTCCTGTTAGCATGGAAACCGCTTAAGAAACAACGAACAATTCTTTTACGATGTGCATGTCTCCTGTTGAACTTTGAAAACAACTACACAGACGAAACCGGGTGTAAAAGCCATGCAAATTTTATGAAACCCAAAAATCAAGCCAGATTTAATAAACAATAAACTCCATAGAATTATCACTCAATGGAATGTATAATTATAAAGAAGCATACACGTGTCACGACTATATGATTAACGTTTACTGTGTGTTTAATAATTACAATTAATTGATTTAATAACAGTAATCATCAATTAATTGTAACTCATAAAAGTCAGATATTGTGATCATTATGAACCGTTCTTCAATGTGCATTCCGTCTACATTCTAAATACTTTCGCGTTTCGTATGGTGAGCGAGGTGGCCGGAGCCCAATTTTCCAAAGATTGTCAACGCATCTGCAACCCTCGGGTGTAGCAGATGTCCATGGGCGGCGGTATTCGCTTAACATCAGGTGAGCCGTCTGCTCGTTTGGCAACTTTTCACATTTAAATAAAAAGCCACGCGCTTCCGTTTTCCGCTTTCCGTTCTCGAAACGGTTCAGTATCAAAGTGACTCCAGTTAAAACTCAAATTTCTGAACGCTTGATTGTATTACGTAAGGATAGTGTACGAGATCAAAATTGACACATTAACCCAAGCGGTTTTTCAGACTATGCTTATGATTCGATAGACATAGACTAGACATCGACATGGCGTATTCCTAGAAGACTAAGAGACCAAGGTTTTTTAGTTCATTTGAACTGCAAATCTATCTTTTCGTGGTCTTTTATATTCTGATTATCCTTCAATCTCTCAAGTTGTTTCATCGTCCGAGAATCAAAGGGCCCTTATTAGCTCTGGTCTAAAGATCGTTCTGATGAAGATTTTTGATTATTTATAGGTCATTTTTAAGTCTCGTCCGAAGAGGTCACATATTGGTAGTTTAGTAAGGAAGATTTGATCATAATCTGGAGTTGTTTGAAAATTAGAAAGGCATTATAGGGCTAACGAAGGTTCCAGAAATTTCTGAAATTGTCACGCGTCCATGCAGAGTCCATACACTCGATCCGAAAGTTGCATGGCGCGAGTCGAAAAGCATTCTAAAGGGTCATCCAAAGTAAAGTAACAGCCTACATATGTTCCTATGCTGAGCAATTTGCACGTTCTCTGTGTGAAAATATGCAGATTGCCTCAATTAACAATTTCATCGGTTCTGGCACCGGGATTTCGTGCGAGTTGATTTTGATTCTACAGCAATAAATGTACTGTTTTCCATCCACGGTGACAAGGAGGTCATCCGTACGGTCAGCCCGATAGCGAAGGAGATGACGGGGGGGGGGGGGGGGGCGGGAGAGGCGAGTCGGTTGGTAGGGCAGTGGGGGACGAGGCTCGCGGGGTGAGGGGAGGAAGGTGAGTCGTTGAGAACGACAGGTTTTTGGTGAGCGGTGAGGACGAGGAATGCGGGTTGGGAGGGGAGAGGGGAAGGTGAGTCGTTTAGGCGGTCTCTTCGAGGTAACAACGGCACGATATGGGAGAAGGGGGAGGACGGGGAGGGCGAGGGGGCGAGGGGGGCGAGGGGTCGCGGCGGCGGCTAGAGGGCGAGGTCGGCGTTGAGCGGCGCGGCGAGCGGGCCGGCCAGCGGCGCGGCGGGGTGCAGCGCGAGCGCGGCGGCGGCGGCGTCGGCCGCGGCGGCGGGGTCGCCCAGCGCCGCCAGCACCAGCGCCAGCCGCCGCCACGTGTCCGCGCGCAGCGGGCCCAGCGCGCCCGCCTCGCGCAGGCTGCGCTCGGCCAGCCGCAGCCAGCCGAGCTCGTAGTACGCGGCGCCTGCAAGCCCCGCCCCCGTGTCTCTCTAGCCTGTCGCCCTCCCGAGGGTGGCGACCCTCCAATCGCTCAACAGAAGCCCGCAGAAGAAAAAATACCTCTCCCGACGAACTCCGAAGTGCCCCTCTCATCCAAACGCCTAACTTGAGCCCATAGAAAAACGAATGTCTTCCCTGACGGTCTTTTGAGTGCGGTGGCCTTCGAACGAACGATGTTTTCAGCAGATCTCTATTACTGGTTACTATGGTAGGGCGACGCAACAGTCATCTCAGTTGCGCCAATGGGCTGATCCGTCCGAGGAAGTACCACGACCTCACAGAAGACCGGCGCGAAGTAGAAGTGTTACACTCCCACGTTTCGTCTGGTAAATGAGGTGGCCGGGGTCCACTTCAAAAGGTGGCAACGCATCTGCAACACTAAAGGTGTTGCAAACGTCGATGGGCGGCATTTATCACACAGCTCGATCGCCGCCTCACCACATAAAAAACCTTGCTAGAAGTACTGACCAAGTTGCACCATGCTGTCCAGGTGGGTGGGGTGGATGGCCAGCGCGTCCTGGAAGCACTGGCGCGCGTCCTCCCACTGCGAGCTGGCCGCGTGCACCAAGCCCCGCTGCGGAAACCGTCCAGCATCAGCCCCAAGTCCGAACATTTGCAACGAGCGACGCATGGTGAATTCTGACAGGTATTTCGCGTGTACGCAGTTGGGTGAGCCCCAACGACCACTGCGACCTTTTAGATCTATTGTAGTCTTCCTTAGAAAACATTTCCTCTTACTGCAGGATAATATTATCGTATGTTGTAAGGACGCTTTACGTTGCTATACTTCGGTATCGGGTGTCGTGGGAGCGATGTCCCACAAGAGACAAGTAGTAAAAATTTAGAGCCCAGCACTAAAAAAAATAATCCTTAAAAGTACCTAAGAGTGGGTTGTTATCAAAGTAACGGTGGCGGAAATCGTCCAAATGTTGGTTTAGTGTTACTTACGGTGTATAATACTAGATGGCTGTGAGGCGTCAGTGCGGCCGCCTCCGCCACGCAGCCGGCAGCGGCGTGTGTGCGTCCCAACCTGGACAAACACACAGACACACACAAACGGTCAAGGGCAAATATAGTAAGGACGAGAACACGAGACTTGTGGATCATAGGGGGGCTTTTGCGACTTAAGTCATTCGTGAACTGTTCAATAACAGTGATCAAAGCATTTTCGTCATTGGTATTGGTTTGTTATAGCAGCAACAGAAATATATCATCTGGAAAATTTCAACTGTCTAACTATCACGACTCATGATATACAGACTGGTGACAGACAGACAGCAGAGGGTCCCGTTTTACCCTTTGGGTACGTAATTCTAAAAATGGTTTATTTATAACATGTACTAAAAATCAAGGCTAACAAGCCCCCGAAACTCCGATAGCCAGAGGCAATGAGAGATAAGAGAGGCAACGCTAGCAGCACCTGCTCTGTTTTCAACGCTCAACACATTTCTATATCGGAGCACATTTCTATTTCTTGTACTAAATTTTGCTCCAACATTTTAATTAAATTATAATTGTAAATTGTTTATATCCACCTCAAATGTTTTTCAAATTATAAGCAAAGATTAATGTAATAGAATAACTAGTTACAAATATCCGTGTGTTGTTTGTCAATTGAGTAAATCAAAAAAACGACAGGTAACGAACTTTCTTTTAAATTTTATGTAATTCCTTGTCATCCCTTTCTGTGCATTTTATTTATTTTCATTTAATAATTATATTTTATTGCTTTTGTTGTTAGTTGTTCGGTTTCATATTGAATTATTCTATTGGTAATTCTGTCTGAGACCGACGATAGCAACTTTAACGTTTAACCTTTTGCTTACTCTGCTACTTAATCAAATATTTGGGTTTCTTTTATTATATATACTAATATATTAAAATGAATACTCGCAATGCCAAGGCACGCCAAATGGAAAACCAACTCCAACTCGTGCTTCAAGAACTTAAGGCATCCAAGGAGCAGTGTGAGCAATTACTCAAGGAAAGGGAGGACAATGAAAAAGAAGTAATAGAAATAGTTGGGAAAAATAGCCAATTAAAATATGAAATGTCTCAACTACATACAGAATATTTAAATTTGTTAAGGGAAAAAGACCAGTTACAGGGAACCGTCAATGAGTTTGACCAATGCAGAAAGGAGTATGAGGAAGCTCTCACACTCAATTCTGCACTGAAATTGCAATTACACGAGGCCAGTATACAAATTTCACAGTTAAATTGTTACATAGACAACCAAAAGGCCTGCCAGACTCAGAGCCTGTTCAATGAGCTGGTCAATTTGCAGCCATCTTGTAACCTTCAAAAATGCATGTACTGTAATAGACTTGACTAGCAATGATTCTACAACATCAAGATCAAAAACAAGAATCCCATGCAGCAGAAATAAATTCAGGAAATATGTAAAAATTAATAAATATATTACTAAAGTTCAGAAATTAATTAAAAGTAAAATTAATACTAAAAACTATGTAAAACTTTGCAAAGAGAAACAACACTTAATTTCTACAGTAAAACAGTATTTGGTTGAGGTGGATAATATTAGAATTAGCTATGAGGCTGACATAGAAGGACTTAACTCTGAAATTTCAGAATTATATAACTCTCTTACAATCATAACAAATAAATACAAATCGGCCCAAAAGGAGATTTCTGAGCACATTTTGGCTGTGGAAGAGCTGGTTATGTTATGTAAGCATAATGAGGAGCGCTTTGAGTCTTTGTCAAAAAAATTCTGTGAGTGTCAGCGCTCAATGCCAGTTCTTTCGCAGACGGATTGTGAAAATAGTGTTAGTCATAATAGCTTGACTGGCAAAGCTGATCTCTATGGCGGTTCCATAGCTAAAGATATGAATTCAATTAAGAATAATATTATTGTTTATAGTGATGACTTAGGTAAAAATATTGGCCCATTAATAAATGAAATTTTTAAGGGCCAATTTACAAATTATTGCATGCCAGGAGCATCATTTAATGACATAATTCAAAAGGTCTTATGTAGTACTTTCTGTCCCAACACCATATTAGTGTTGTTGATAGGGACAAGGGGCAATGTTAACAAAGGACAGTTGTTAAAATACTTGGAAGATGTAAATAATGTAAATGGTAATAAAATTGTCTTGTTTACATTGCCTTATTTAAGGGATATGCCACATGAAAACAAAATAAGATTTGACATTAATTTGCAGTTAAGCAATTTATTCTGTAATAATTCAGTGAATTTGACATGTCAAAATAATGATACTGACAAATTACATATAATTGACATTAATGCCATAATTAAAAAATATCAAACAAACAAAAGATAGGTATTTCCTATCAAAATTTAAGTTAAGACTGATAGCAAATGTGCTATCTTATTTTTTACATTTTAATTTAGCCAAGCGTTTGGCTACACCATCATCTGCTCCTATTGAGCAGCTAAATAGTTTAATATGTACTTTGGAATCCGTTCCAAATAATTTAAATTAATTATTGAGACAAAAGAGAAAATCTCTTGCAATGACATTTATGTAATGAATTATAAAAAAAATTATTCTATTTCACAGAAAATGTTATGTAATAAAAATTGTTTAAACCTGGTGCATCAAAATATTCAAGGTTTTCAAGGTAAAGATTTAGAAATTGACTTGTTTTTAAATAGCAATGATGTTGATATTTTATGTATTACTGAACATTGGTTAAAAAATAATACCTTTATGTTTAACTTCAGTAGACACCAGGTTGTTAGTTCTTTCAATAGAGAAAAAGTGTTACGTGGTGGCTCTTTAATATTATTAAATAGATATTTGTCATATAAGGAGCGTAAGGATATTGTGAGCCTCTCTGTTGAGAGAACTATAGAAATGGCTTGTGTTGAGCTTGAGCATCTCATTGTTGTTAGTGTTTACAGACCGCCCTGTGCCTTGTATGAACGTTTTGAAAAAACCATGGAGGAAGTTTTACATAAACTTCATAAACAGAATAAATCTGTCGTCATATGCGGAGACTTTAATATTAATCTCCTAGAAGCTTCTTCCATGAGGATAAGATTCTGCTCATTGTTAAAATCATTTAATCTTTTCAACTTGTTTTTTGAGCCTACAAGAATAACAGAGTCAAGTGCAACATGTATAGATAACATTTTTACATATGTCAAACCATTGCACAGACTAATAATACATAAATTAAGTTCTGACCATTCAAGGCAGTTTGTCACATTGCCTCTGCACTGTAAAATCCAAGATACTAGGAAAGCTGTGTTTGTTCCCATAAATAAATATCGCAAGAAGTTTAGAAGTAATTTAATAAAAAAACTACCTATGCTGCCCTACTATGACAATGCTAACGCCTTGTATAGTTCATTATTTAATTTCATACAAATCGAATACAATGCCGTTTTTACTTCTAAAACATTCTCTTTGAACAGTCGCAAGACTTTTAATAAATGGGCAACAGCAGGAATTCACCGCAGTAGACGAAGATTGTATGAACTTTACAGTGAAAGGTCATACAATCATTCTGAGACATTTAAAGATTATGTTAAAAATTACTCAAAAATATTTAAAAAAAGTGTGTCTTGCCGCCAAGTCATTACATTTGAGAAATAAAATTAAAAATGCCTCTAATAAAGTAAAAATGACTTGGAACATTATAAATAGTGAAACAGGAAAAACCAAATCACGTAGGTCTGACTACCAGCTCAACATTGATAATAAATTTATAACGACTAATCAGGAGGTAGCTGAAGTATTTGAAAAATTCTTTAGTGAGATTCCTACTTTAACTACATTGTCGCTGAATTCTTCTCCTGCTGTTGCCGAGACATTACTTAAGGAAAATGTAAGTGCTTGCACCACAATCTTTAAATTTCAGGCTGTATATGCAAAAAGATATATAAAAATGTTTAAGACCATTGAACTTAAGAAAACGGCAGATCTATGGGGAATGTCCGTTGAAGTGACTGCCTCAATAATAGATTCAATCGCACCTTATTTGTCAATAATTTTTAACAGTAGTGTAGATTCTGGCGTATTCCCTGATCTCATGAAACACAGTAAAGTCATAACTGTATTTAAATCCGGTAGTACTTCGGACCCCACTAATTTTAGACCCATTTCTATACTACCAACACTTAGTAAAATTTTCGAAAAACTTCTTCTAGATCAGCTATTAACACATTTTAACTTAAATAAATTATTACATCACAACCAGTTTGGTTTTACAAGGGGTCGTTCTACAACCGATGCTGGTGTAGAGCTGATCAAACATATATTTGAGGCTTGGGAGAGTTCACAGGATGCTCTGGGTGTCTTTTGTGATCTTTCCAAGGCTTTCGATTGCGTGAATCATGAAACACTGATCAGGAAATTGCGCCATTATGGCATTAAAAGTACCGCGCTTGACCTCATTAAGTCATATCTATCTAATAGAATTCAAAAAGTTGTAATTAATGGTGCTAGTTCTTCTGGGTCGACGGTATCTATGGGCATTCCGCAGGGCTCGATTCTCGGCCCATTTCTCTTTCTCATTTACATTAATGATCTTCCTTACTTTGTAGGGAGTAAACACGATATAGTTTTATTTGCCGATGATACATCATTAATTTTTAAAATCAATCGACAGCTTGTTACACTTGACGAGGTAAATAATGCTATGTCAGAAATAGTCTATTGGTTTAATACTAACAATTTACTATTAAATGGTAATAAAACTAAATGTATGAAATTTTCAACACCTAATGTTAAACATTTGGGTGCTACCAATGTACTTATAAATGGGGGGGAGTTAGGCCTTGTGGATACGACTGTCTTTCTTGGAATAACTCTCGATGCAAAGCTTCAATGGGGTCCCCATATATCCAAACTTGCGAATAGACTAAGTTCTGCAGCGTATGCTATAAGGAAAATAAGATGTCTAACTGATGTAAAAACGGCTAGAATTGTGTATTTTAGTTACCATAGCATAATGTCATATGGTATTTTGCTATGGGGGCACGCGGCCGATATAGAAACAATTTTTATTTTGCAAAAAAGGGCCATAAGAGCTATTTATAATCTAGATCAAGATTAAAGAAATAAATACATTAACCTTAGCCTCTCAATATATATATGAAAATGTTATGTATGTGCGAAGAAATATTAATAATTTTGATAAGAATACTGATATACATAATGTGAACACTAGGAACAAACACAAGCTTGTAATGCCAGTTACTAGACTCCATAGAGTAAGTAACTCGTTCATGGGGCGGTGTATACGCTTTTACAACAAAATCCCAGTAAATGCGCAAAACCTGCCTATTAACAGGTTTAAGAAATTTGTTAAAGAAAAACTTTATAAAAAGGGTTATTATAATACAAATGAATACATTAATGACAATAACCCCTGGGAATGAGTTGATCGCTCCCAAGCTATTTCTAAAAGGAAAAAAATCAGTTGTATAATTTTTGAATTTTTTGTTAAGAAAAAAAAAATAATTACAAAAAAGAGGATACCTACGGAGTTTCTTTCGCCTGTTTCTTCTCCGCTAGAGGAACCTCAATACGAAACGGTGGTAGATTTAAAAAAAAATATGACTATTGATAAATGAAATGTAAGTTTCTTATATCGATGAATAAATGATTTTGATTTTCATTTTGGAGGGCAGCGAGAACGGTGCACAGCAGACATAGACACTCGTCTCCCCCACGACTCTCATTCGATTGCAGATAACAGGGTGAATGGCCCAACTACCACTTAAAACTTCCCCGCAGTCCCCTTTGCCCAATCTTGCATATTAGGGGACCAAGTCTCCAAGTTCAAGACTATGCCTCGACTGGGTAGATATGGTCCTAGCCGCCTTGCGCAACACACTGAAGTTTTCCGGGCAGCAAACTAGATCGCGGTGATAAACTGGTGCACTGGTTGTTCGCTTAAGGCTATCCAAAATCTCGTTCCTCTCCTGGGAATACAGTTCACAGTCCACGTAGCACATGGTCTCTAGTTTCCATCATGTCTCGGCACGGGCAGGCCATCGTGTCGCTAAGCCCCGGTCGATGCAGTCGATACAGATACCGGGTCAATAGCAAGTTTGCCGTAGGGCATTTCAAACGCCCACGACATCCCTCCCCTCCACACTAAGCTGAAAATTCTACCCCCCTCCCAATAACTCCACCCAACACTCACCTCAGACAAAGGTCGGCGAGCAGCAGCCACGCGTGAGCCCGGTGGTGCTGCAGCGGCGAGTGCGCCCCCCCGGCCGTGCCTCCCCCTCCCGCCCCGCCCCCCGCCCCACCGCTCCCCGCGCCCCCCACGTCCGAGAGGGCGCGCTCGGCGCGGAAAGCGCCCGCCGACTCGGCGCGGATGGAGGCTGCAACGAAGCGGGGTGCGAGTTCAATGCATTTGCATCCCTTAACCACAGTCTTACATGTTTAATTTTTAGATAGACTTTATAATATACAGGAAGGTTCTCCTAAGTGAATCCATTTTTTTTTTAATTACGACACATTTATGAATGACTACCGCATTGTCAACAAGTGTTTTTTAGGGAATAGAATGGCAAGTTTTTTGACAAAAAAAGTTTGTTTTTATTTCAATAATCGATTATCTGACCGAGTCTGAACCTTCTGTGTAAATTTGGGCACCTTTATAAAAAGCCACCTGTATACAGCGTGTCGTTACCATCGCGACAATAAATGAACACACGTCTAACGCTAGTTGCCAATAATCATAAAAAATATTAACGTTAAACAAAATCCATAATTAAAAAAAAATATTTTTCAAACAAACTAATTAAGTAAAAAAGAAACAAAATTTTTAACATCCTATACAACTCGCGCCACAGCGTCGTATTACAACCATCTCCTTCTAACAGTATGTTTTGTCTCTTTTAAATTCATTCAACCCATGCATATGCTTTGTGACCTTTACAAATGAACTTTACGTTACGCTTTTATAGGTAAGGGTGTTCTAAAATTCTTTGATTTGGAAAATTTAATAACTCTGTAAATATTTATGTTTAAATAATTTAAATGTTTAATACAACTTTAGAAAGTTATCCGCTATATGTGTGTTTATTTATTGTCGCGATGGCAACGACACGCAGTATATTGTAAACATGTTTTCATTGCCAAATGATGGAAAAATATTGTACTCAGTTTCTCTTCTGAAACGGAAGTAGCTTCTGCATTAAATGAACATTTTTGAATTTGAAATTTGAATCAAAGTTTATAATGTAAAAAAATTATGTATTGCATAGTAAGTATTCTACAAAGCGATAATACTAATCGAGTAACAGGCTCATAGTCGGTTATATTTCGATCAATAAACACGTGATAAAATAAGTTTGAATGAATCACACACCTCCTATGTTCACAAGCAAAGTAAGAATAAGACAACTGGAGCAATGTTAAAAAGAGCCAAAAAACAAAACAGAAAGAGAAGAGATCAACTGCGTAGAGAGGCGGTAAAATGAAAGATAATGTAACATACCGGCATCCCTGTTGCTTTGCGTGTCGTCTTGTGAATCGGAGAGCGCGTCCAGCTCGGCGTATCCATTGTGGTCCGCGTCTGATTCCGTCTCGGCGCTGTTTAATAGCTTCAGTAGCTCCTTTCCGGTGGCCAGGGCCGCCTGTTCCGGAAGAGAGAACTCCTCGTCATCAAGTCTCATCTCTTTTATGTGAGAAGATGGCAGTTCGTCTGATTTTAAGTGATAACCACCACCCTGTGACATCCGCAATACCTTTTAAAATATGGGCCAAGCGTTACGCGTTTCATTTAGTGAGTCACTCCGGCGCCCGCTCTATTTAAAAGGTGGCAAATCGTCTGCAACCATAGGGGTGTTAGAAATGTCCATGAGCGGCGGTTATCGACTACTATTAGGTGTAGTAGTGTAGTTGGAACTGCCAGCTAGCTTGCTCCGCACTCACATAAAAAAAAATACAACAAGTCAAACAAGTAAATTTGCGGTCGAACAATTTCCGTTGTAAAATTGAGGATCACGCCGGTCTTCTATGGCGAGTAAATCAAAGCACTGATGTTAGGTAGGGTTGATGAGCAAATATATAAGAGCACTGAGATCTGGTAAGGTCAACAGATCAGGGTTTGCGAGCTGAGATGAAAAGATTAAAGAAATGAGGTTAGATTAGATCAAAAAGATCAGGGACGTCAAGGCGAAGCGAATACAATGAGAGTCAATACAGTCAGAACAAAACAGAGAAGTAAGATAAGCTTACATGCATCAGAAGTGTATTGTTACAGTAAGTACAGTCGGAGCAAACAGATCAAAACTGACAGATCAGGATTAGAAGCGTTGAGATGAAGCAAGTACAGTCAGGATCAATGCAGTAAGAGCAAGAACATATTGCATTGAGATCGGGTAAGGCCAATAAAATCATGGGCATCGAGGTGAATCAAGTAGTCAGAATTAGTACAACAACCATTGCTCTCGTTCACAGATCAAATCACTGAGATCAGATATGGTCAAAAGGATGAGGGGTACCTAGAAGAAGCAAATACAGTCAGAGTAAACAGATAAAAGGTTAGATAAGGTCAATAAAATCAAGGGCATTGAGTTGAAGCAAGTACAGTCGGAGCAAAAAGATGAAAACTGATGAAGAATGAAATGAGATCAGATAAGGTAAATAGGTAAGGAGTATCGAAGTGAAGCAAATACAATCAGAGCAAATAGATCAGATAAGGAGCGTCGAACTGAAGCAAGTACGGTTGGAGCAAACAGATCAAAACACTGAGGTCAAAGAAGGTAAGTAGATTAGGAGCAATCGAGGTGAAGCAAATACAATGAGAGCATTATCAGAGTCGAACTGGAGAAAACAGTGTCAGGAGTTTCTTTCGCCTGGTTCTTCTTCGTTACAGGAAACTTACTAAATGGTGGTAGATAAAAAAATGACTATCGATAGATGAAATCCGTATTTCTTGTGTCGATGAATGAATGATTTTGATTTTGACAGAGCAGACCGGGAACGTCGAGCTGAAGCAAGTACGGTCAGAGCGAACAGGTCAGATGAGGATCGTCGAGCTGAAGCAAGTACGGTCAGATCAAACAGATAAGAGCGGGACCGGCGACCTGGAACCTGTACGGTCGGAAGAGAGAGCACTGCATAACTCACGTCGCCGCCCTCCCAGAGCAGCTGCAGCGCGGCGAGCGCCCAGAGCGGCCACTCGGCGTGCGGGTAGTGGTGGCGCGCCAGGCGGGCGGCGTGCAGCGCCCTGCCCGCCCGCCGCCCCGCGCCCGCACACGCCCACAGCGCGGCCGCCACGCGCAGCGCGCCGCCGCACTCCGCGCGCACCGCCAGGCAGGCGCGCGTCGCGTCCTGCCGCGGGGGATTCCCGTGTGGCTCAGACGATAGGACCCAACGTCGGGGGCTAGGACCACCCAGCTAGTGCAACGGCAAACACCGCAGTTCGCCCTCGCCTTCGAGCACGGCGAAACCAGCACAACGCGTACACTAGGCAAACCCGCGTTCCAGGGCGGTCTCGCAGCCACAGCCACCGACTAAACGAGCACAGTCGACGGCCATCGGGGTCACGATCCGCACCGAACCTCGATGACCCGTAGGCGACATGCCATAATTAACGCACGCATGAGTACATGCGCGGCCCTACCCACTGAGGAGGGCGTCAATCCCGTGGGCTCTGGCTAACCCACCGGTTCTGCGTTCGATGAAGCTTTAATAATCTCGGGCCTGAAGGCGTCAACATCAGTTAAAACAAATACACAGAAGTTCTGCTTAAAGTGGTAAGGTACCCCCTCGACTACCTCACCACTTTATTAAAAAGTAACAACTGCATGTACAACCCTACGGGTGTTCAAAATGTTCATGAGCGGCGGTTGTCGCTTAAACATCAGGTGAACAGCCAACTCGCTGGCGAACTCCTCATATAAAAAGAAAAATGCCAAAATTGTATTCGCCTGTGACGCTACCTAAAATTAACGACACCCTAAAATCTTTCATTATGACCCGATTGGCGTGGGGAGTGATAAACCTGTGTCTTGCACCAGAAAGTGTGGGTTCGATCCCCACTACTGGAAGAATATTGGGTCATGAACGTGGTCTCCGAGGGCCAGTCTTCGAATGTTCATATATGTATATATATATTTTTGAGAAGTGCCCAAATTTACACAGGGGTTCAGACTCGGTAGTATAATCGTTTATTGAAATAAAAAACAAAGTTTTTTTTTCCAAAAAAAAAAATGCCATTGTATTCCCTAAAAAACAGAACGTGTTGACAATGCGGTAGTCATTCATAAATACCAAAATTTTACTGTGCACGAACTTGTGTGCGTGTTAGTTATGAATGATTGCGCCTAAAATAAATGAGTTGCGTATATAAATCACGCACTTTTTGAAATAAGTTCAAATGAATGTAATTAATTACTTACGAGTGATTTTAAATATTTATCATTTTTATATAACATTATTTATGTCTAGATTTTAATTAAAAAAAAATGGATACACTTAGAAAAGCCACCCTGTATATTTACAAAAGAAGAGTATTCTCAAGTATGTTCATCGGTTTTCTTGTACCCATAGTACAAGCATTGCTTAATTTTAGACTAAAAAACGGTGTAAAAAGTGTGCCCGAAAACATCGTTGATCTCCATCGAGAAGAGGGAGGCCAGAAGAGGGCAGAAGGCGGCAGAAGAGCTCACCATGGCCTCGTTGAGCATGCCCACGTGCATGTACTGCAGCGCCAGGTGGTAGAAGGCGAGGTGGTCGTTGTCGTCCAGCTCGACCGACCTCAGCAGCTGCCTCAGGCTCAGCTCGTTCGCCGCCTCCTTCTCGATGCGGGAGTTCGTCTTCTGCGAATTACGAATAACTAACATTTAACTGTACCTTCTTTTATTTATCTGGTCGCATTGTTGCAGTTTGTTTTTAACTGTAGAACGGCCACGCAAACCAACGTAACTACCACAACTTCACAGAAGCCCGACGTCAAGCGGAAATGTAACACTCCTGCGTTTCAAAACTGCACCTAACTAGTTTTTGCAACATTTACAACTAAGTTACTATACTGCACATTCGACTTGAACATAAAGCGATATCTGTCATCAAATTAATCATGGAATTAGATTCGAAGCCAAAACGATAATACAAAAGAAATATGTTATTGTGAATATTCGCATGGAAACTCTTGTTGGAAACAGAAAGATTGGTAGTGAAAAAGATAATAGGTAAACATATAGTAAAGTAAAGTAACATGCCTATACATGTCTTACTGCTGAGCAAAGGCCTCCTCTATATAGAGGTTATCAGGGCATAGTCCACCACGCGGCCCCACTGCGGATTGGCGGACTTGCAGAAACATATAGAATAGTAGAAAATTTGTAATTCTGCTTAGTTTTACAGAAATAGTCTAAAGTCATGGATATAGTATGTAAAGTAAAAAAAAACGATTAAATTATTAGCAATGATGATGAATCGGGAACCGTCTACGGACTGAAATGAGAGCAAAAGTTTAAAAACCAATGATCGCAAACAGAACCAGTTTTCTGGCATACGATCACGCTTAGGTTAAAACAAGGATTGTACTTTCAAGAGTCATATAATCGATGAGCCTTAACACTACGAGGGAAAGAGATAAAATCATCTAAAAACAGAGACAAATGGATATGCTACAGTACCTGCGCCCTCATCTGATGGCCGATCCCCGAATACAGGTAGCAGCGCGCCAACATTGGTCCCTTCCTCTCAACTTCTATCGCCAACGCCTCATCCGCCATCTCTATACCTTCCTCTATCTATGGAAAATTTTCATTGTATTTTAACCCGTTGGTAATACTTTAAAATAAAACATGTATTCATTTATTGTAATTATAAATTCTTGTTTGAGTATGAAACAAATACGATGGGACCTAGGATGGCCCCTTGGGGTAGCCAAAACGATCTTCGGACGGTTTACTCCAGATATTGAAATTAATCAGCGAATTATTAATAAGGGAATCGCGGCATCTTAAATCGCGGGATCTTATTACTAAAACACCACTGACTGTCTGTCTGTCACCAGGCTGTATCTCATGGACCGTGATAGTTGGACAGGTGAAATTTTCACAGATGATATATTTCTGTTGCCGCTTTAACAACAAATCCTAAAAACCAGAACAAAAAAATATTTAAGTGGATCTCCCATGCAACACACGTGATGTTTTTGCAGTTTTTTTAGATAACGGCGAGTTCGACTCGTACTTGGCCGGGTTTTTTTTTTTTTAACATAGCAATGGTTCATATGTGTACCTGATCTCAAGTCGTCTCCTGAGAATATAAGAGAAGAAAGTCGTTTCTCGAGTTATCATTACTACCATCCTTAAGGGTTCGTTCCCCCTAACGGGTACACTAGGAGACCGGACCTTGGAGATCCCTTCCCCCTAACGGACGGTTACACAAGGGCGATAGAGCAGGCCAGGGCCCCAGAAGGGCTACACTAGCGGTGGGGAGATGGGCCGGGGCCCCAGAAGGGCTACACTAGCGGTGGGGAGATGGGCCGGGGCCCCAGAAGGGCTACACTAGCGGTGGGGAGATGGGCCGGGGCCCCAGAAGGGCTACACTAGCGGTGGGGAGATGGGCCGGGGCCCCAGAAGGGGTGCGGAGAGGCACAGACCCAGCCGGCGCGGAAGCAGTTGGCGGCCGCCACGAGCCGCAGCGGCGTGTCGTCGCGGCAGAGCTGTGCCGCGCGGCGCGCCACGCCCAGCGCGCGCACGTGGCCGCCGAGGGCCCCTTGCCCTGCAGTCAGGGGAGCAAAGGCTCATGCGTGGCCCACTGCTGGGCGAGGGTTAGGTGGTTCCGTACGAGGGGCTGAGGCTTAACTTTTGACATTAACAAAAGGAATTTTGACGAGAGTATTATGGAGCTAATGTCTCTAAATCTTTTTTTTTTTTTTACAAACATACCCTTACAGACCACATGAACCTGTCTTGTAAGAACGCTTTACAAACATTAACTTCACATGTAAAACACCCAGATCCGGAACAATCTGTAGTGTTTTTCTAGTGTCTGGGTGTTTATATATCTAAAATATGTATTTATTTACAAAAAGAAAAGTATGTTTAAGTATGTTTATCAGTTTTCTAGTACCCATAGTACAAGCGTTGCTTAGTTTGGGACTAGAAAATGTCGTGTAAAAATGTGTCCCAAAAAAAATAAATATAAATCATCTGTGGTCATGCAAAAAATTGTCCGGTGTGATCTAACCCACGACTCCCGACGCCGAAGCCAATACATTGGCAATTAATAAATAAATCTTATCCTTTAAACGTGCAATTCTTGTATATATATATATATACAATCGGAATCTCGGAAACGGCTCCAGCGATTTTCATGAAATTTTGTATGTGCGTAGATTCGGGGGCGAAATATCGATCTAGCTAGGTTTCATTTTTAGAAAATGCCCTTTTATCCCTGTTTTCAGGGAATGAAAAATATAATTCGAACATGACGGTAAATTTCGCCGCAAGAGAAAATGTCATAATAGCTCGGTCGGTAATCGGGTGCCCACAAAACAGACGACCGTGGTTCGTGTCACGATCATTTACATAATGTTTTTTTGTACTTTTTTTTCGATTTCAGATCATTGGTTTCTGTTTTCTTAATTTTTTGTCGATTTGTTATTTTGTTATTTTTTTCCCTTTTTTTTAAAGTTGTTTCTTTTGTGAAAAACACCACTTCATATTTTCTTATTAATAGGTCGGTAAGATCGAAAAATATTATGCATATTTCATTACTCAGTAATTTGTATCTGAATGTAATTTCCAAAATACATGATTTACAAAAAAAAAAAAAAAAAACAAGCCTATCCTAAATATTTAGAACTGGTCCTCCCGGTACTAAATATTTAGGACACATTTTTACACAACATTCTCTAGTCCCAAACTAAGCAACGCCTGTACTATGGGTACTAGAAAACTGATAAACATACTTAAACATACTTTTCTATTGTAAATAAATACATATTATACATATAATAAACACCCAGACACTAGAAGAGCACCATGTTGATCACACAATATTTTTCCAATAGTGGGGCAATCGAAGCCACACCCTCTGGCGCAGGAGGCGTAGTCATCAATACCCGTACATCCATAAACACAGATAAATAAATAAATAAATACATAAAAGCACCTGGCGGGAGAAAAAAAAGAAAGAGCCGTGATAGCTCAGTGTCCGGGCGCTCGCCTTTAATTCAATATACTCGAGCAACCTGAGTTCGATCCCAGGTGCCAATGGAATTGTTAATTTTATACTCTGTCTTATCACGTGCTCCGCGGTGAAGGAAAACATCGTGAGGAAACCTGCATATTTTCGAAATAATAATAAAAATATTTCGAAGATATATGTGAAGTCCGCCAATCCGCAGTGGGGCCGCGTGGTGGACTATGCCCTGATACCCTCTGTATAGAGGAGGCCTTTGCCCAGCAGTGGGACATGTACAGGCTGCTACTTTACTTGTTTACCTGGGGGCGCGTGCTTGTGGGCGTGGTGGGGGCGCGCGGCGGCGGCCAGAGCGCGCGCTCGCCACACGTGCGCGCACCCGAAGGAGAACTTCATCGCGCGCTCCAGCGACTGCAACCGACATGTCTTAGGGCACCGTGCCCTGGCCACTCACTGCGCTGTCTCTCTGTCCCGGGCATAGCTCGGTTTCGTCCAGTGTCGAAGCCTCACAGATTGACCAGTGCGGAACTAATACCATGTTTCTGCGCGGTACTGGCACTTCGATGGTGAAGATTAATCGTTGTATGGGATAGTGAGTCCCGACCACTGCGACTTACAAGATCTATTGTGGTCTCTTCGAAAACGTTGCCCATTATTGTGGGATAATTACGTGTCGTAAGGACACGTGATAATGCTTTTTTACACACACAAATTCACCAACAACATTAATATCCGACACGACTATCAGCGGATCACACAAACAATCGTTCCGTGTGGGAATCGAAACCCACAACCGCAAGCAGCACAGCGAGTATAATACTCGTGGGGTCGTCTGGTGGGTGAGTTGAGGTCTCCCCCGTGCGGGTGAGTAACTCGAACGGCATAGCAAGTACTATACTCGTGCTTTTCGTGTCTGGCAGGTAACGGGGCTCACCTGCCGCGACCTTTGAGCGTCTCTGCGTTCGCCTGGCAGGTGAGCCCCCTTCGTTGAGGGCGCGCACCTCGAGCAGCAGCGCCATCTGCCCCCAGCGCACGGCGGCCAGCGCCAGCAGGTCGACGAGCGCCACCGCGTTGCGCAGCGAGTGCGCGCGCGCCGCCTCGAACTCCGCGCTCTGCGAGAGCACCGCGTCGCGCACCGCCATCGCCTCGCCCACCAGCAGCACCAGCATCGCCTCCTCGTACTCGTTGCGCGGCACGAACTGCGAACACAACGCAAACAGGTGGCCAAGGGATGATCATTTGTGATCTATTTGTGTGCCCCACGGATAGTTGTTTCGCATCTGGGTGAAATTTATGTTTGCAAAATGTCCTTACAACACTGGATAATGTTATCCTAAAGTAAGGGCAATGTTTAAATAAAAAGGCCTCCTCCGTATAGAGGATATTAGGTAAATAGAACGCGGAAACAGCGGCCTCCTTATGTCCCACCGCTGAGCAAAAGCCTCCTACACAGAGGGTATTAGGGTAAACCGCGCATCCCCCTGAATTTATTGGTGCCAGCACCCATGTTAGGGTTCAGGTTGCTCAACTTTACTATACATTACGTAAGCAGGCGCCCGGACAAATTAAATAAAAACAAATCATTTATACATCGAAGTAAGAAATATACATTTCATCTATCAGAAGTAATTTTTTAAATCTACCACTGTTTCATAATGAGGTGCTCTAACGGAGAAGAAGCAGGCGAAAAAAACTCTTTTTTGTCATTTCTTTTTTCCTCAAAATATTTTAGAAACAGCTTAGAAGCTATCAACTCATTCATTAGTATTACATTTACCCTATTTGAAACCTTTGTCTTTAATAAATTTCTTAAACCTCTTAATAGACAAGCTTTGCGCATTAACTCGGATATTGTTGTAGAGACGTATACACTGCCCCATCAACGAGTTACATACTACATGTACTTCCTATTACATGCTCACAACCTTAAAAAAAGATCGGTATCTTCCATGTCATATGGGGATTATGCCGCAATATCCTCTGTACAGAGCAGGCCTTTGCATATAGGAGTATATACTGTCACTTTACTTTTATACAATTTTATTTATTAATCCACAATACTAAAATCTAATGTATAAAATATAATAGTCATATTTGTAGGAAGTTTTGTTAAATAAATTAATATAAAGTTGCCAAGCCTAACCTGGTTAATGGCAGCGTATTTTTTTGGTTTCCACGGTCCTTCGGAGACGTGATCCTCCCTCCGCCTCGTCAAAGTGCCCTGTTGCGGCATAACCGCCAACTTTTCCGGAGCCTTGTAAACCTGCAATTGCAATGCAAAGGCATTATTACACTATTCAATAAAAGAACAAAATAGTCCCGTTCCAAGGACGAATTTCTTTGCTTTAACTATGAATAAATTTATATAACAAAATAAAAACTGACTTCTTGATTTTACGCGAATATTGTACATGTTAAATAAAACTAATTTACGGATTTTATATCGTTTTTAATTTGATTTTGAAATTCCCTACATTTCGAACTCTTTCCAGCGTTCATGATCACGGGACAGTCTGTCCCGACAAAATATGTTAACTAGTTTACATTTAATAAAAATAATAAAAATATAATATGGCAAATTACGGCTCAAAGGGGCGAAAAGAGATAACCGAAGCAATCCACATTATAACGAACTTATTTCTTCCCAAGAATGGTGGTAAATCTTGTCAACGAACTTAAGTCACTTATCTCAGGAAGACAATGGGAATGAACGATGGAAACAAAATAGAAAAACGGGTACAAGTCATTGAGCCTGGAGCTTGCGACCGACTTCAAGACAGATTTTTACAGAAAAAATGAGCAAAAAAATCTTCCAACATTACTAGAAAGAATAAAGCAACCAGTGAAAAAGTAATTGCCAAAGAGTAAGAGAATAAAATAATCAAGGGTTTCATACCTGACCAGTGACCCCTCTCAACAGCACTTCGGCGAGCTGCCTTGCCAGGGTCAGGCGCAAAGCCTGCGTTGACACCGACTCCACGGCTGTCAACATTTCACGGTACCTGGAAACCGTCACAGAAATGTAAGTAATTTCACTATACTGGATGAATTTATTATGTTTATGCTTGTGCTTACATCATAACATGTTGTAAGGATGTTTTACATGCACAAATTTAACATTGACACTCAGATCTGAAACAATTTTAAACAAACACTTTTCTCGGTTGGGAATCCAAGAAGCGAAATCTGAAATTCTTTAAAACAATTTTAAAGCTCTAGTGATCGGTCCTATCCTTATACATTATTTCTTTTATGCGAAAAGTTGTGACGCGAGTAGACGTTTCACCTGATATTAATTGAATACAGACTCCCACGGATATCTGCAACACCTGATAAATTGTTGATGGGAAGAAAAATGTGGACCCCGGTGAGCTCACTCAACAGACCAAATGCGAAAGTTTTCTAAAGTAATACCCCGGAACAGCCTGCATATTTGTACAACAGCAGATTGCGTGGCCCTAATATTAATAATGGGTATATAATTCCACGCCCCAGTTGAGTGTAGAGAGAGAGAGAGGTATTCTATCATGGGAGGCCTAACATTCTATTGCAAAGTTACCTGTCGATGGCACTGTGCAGCCTCCCTGCTCGGATGTGCAAAAGTGGCGCCCTCTGGAGAGCCGTTTCTAGTACAACACCCGCGCGCGCAGCCTGTGCACGCTGAAGATACAGCAACGTCAGCTCCGACGCCAGTTCGAAGCTCCTGATCTATTCAGAGTACCAATTGCTTTATATCCACAGCCGTCTAAGACCGATTTATGGTCTAAGAACATGTGGAGACATAACTTGACACCATTTGTGATGACAATAGAAAAGTTTTTCGCAAAAAAAAATGTTTTACCTTTGGACATGAGCAATGTTCATTATAACCTAAAAGAATCCTAACTGAACAAAGTAGGGTGAATAAATTTTAAGTAATGAAAAATAATTCTATATCTTTTGAGGCATCCTTGATGTTAATGCAAGAACTTATAAGGTTTTAATATGATTTAAATGCAGATTTTCACAACTTACAACTTTTAAGTATGATTTTAAATTACTTGTAATGTAACATTATGACAAAACCATACTTAATAATCTTTACTCATCAGACAAAACTTATGAATATTTTTAAATAATAATAATACACATAATTAAATCAATGATTGCTAGGTACCATTTAGTCTTATATCATACAAAAACCACCTGTCCTTACCATTTCTGATTCTCTTTCTGCCTGCTTAAAACGACTGGATGATGCTGGAATAGCATTTAATTCCAAACATAATCCTTTTATAGCATATGATTCGGCTACAATTCGGAGACTCCGTCTGAAAAAAGTTTATAGATAATTAAAAAAACCTTTCTTAACATAATCTAAATCTAAAATATAACTGACTTATGAATATTATTGATTATAATTTGAAAAATGTTAATTGTGTTGCAAATAATGCAATAGAGATGTTGAATGCCATACAATGGTGAGAATAAATTTATGAATCCAAAAAAAGATGACAGAACATTGAAATAGTGACTTTTTTTGTTACTGATATTTATCAATGGATGTGATTGAATACTTAGAACATACCGGCAAAATCTTAATTAATGAGTTCAATAGCCCAATACATTTAATGCCGTGATAACTGAAAATTTCAGGAAGGTGACCTTTGCTAGATCTAATGACTACATCAATTACATTATAAATTGCAATTTTACATACTGATTGATGAAATATCGCAGGTGTTTAAATATTATTATGATACTTTTGCTAAGCTTGAAAAGTTGGATCTTTGGTAAAGTTCTTAATATTGCCGCTTTGCGGTTTACACTATTTGTGCAAAAGAGGCTAGTATCATTTTACTATACAGAAAATACGAGTATGATTACCACATTTTACCTGTATAATATTATTTCATTTAAATAGACATATTTTTGAGAATTAACATCTTTATAATAACTAAATAATATTTAAAAATAAATAAAAATGATTACAAAACATTGTTCAGTTAATAATTAGCATTATGCTAGTGAATACAGAATCATAATGCCCACATTACATCACAAGTGATAATTTCATACTTAAAAGGAACCAGTTTTAATGAGTCAGAGCAATGTGACTCATACTTCGAACTGTTACGCCTTCATCACAGTGATTACTAGTTTAAAAAAGTCTAAAGTTATTATAAATTATGAAGGTTTACTTCTAATTTATGAACTTAATTTAAATAATCACTATGGATGTACATTTAAAAGCCAATCAAAGTTAAAATCAGGTACAGCAAAAGCTTAATAGTGTAACTCTTTTGACCTTTAACTATGTGACTATTATTAATTCCATGTTGCCAACAAATGATGTTTAAAGTACACACCAGTGAGTTTAATCACAATTAATTAAATATATAAAGGCTGATTAAAATTTTTATCCATATAAATTCAAACGATTTTGGCAGCTTTAAAGTTATGGTCAAGTGCATCATATAATAACAGTGAGCTCCAATTATTTTACTTATTCTCTTTAGCAAACAATATAACATAAATATTGCAAAGAGGGAATAATCTTCGGATAAATATACCAGTCTATCTGAGGCAATCTAAATGTGAGAAGTGCAATAAGCTAATTTAATAAACCATATTATTATTTAATACAAGTATGCATTACTTACACTGGTAACTCTTTCTCAGTTAATGTACTCAATTCTGCCAGATTATACTGTTTCAGTGAGTCATCATATGCTCCACAAGCATAGTTCAATTTTCCCAACAGTAAATGGGCATCAAGGGCAACACCAGCCCTCTTTCCAGATTCATCTGTAGCCAAGGTCAGGTAACCCCGTGCCTCGGACAACTCTCTTTGCGCCCTTTCAATGTTCTCCTTAATTGGGGGCCATTCATCCAAATATGCTTCGAGTTTCCCCTCGCCGATGAGAAAATGTGCGAGACTTTCTGTGGAATAAACAACTTATTAGCTATTTTTCTAATTTTAATAATAATAAAATCATGTTGGAATGTTATGATATTGTCAGGATCACTTCAGTATGATTCCGATAAAATACAATAAGATAGATAAGGTTTAATTATATAAAGATATTAGTAATTACATACAATCGTCAAGTAATTGAATGGGTTAAGTAGTACCAATGTCTGCGTTTATTAGTAAAGCCTCAAGAGACTCATGCCCTACGTCAGATTACAAAACATGTCCCAGATGATAAGTGATGTTATACTTAAGTGTTCAAATTTTATGTAAGATATACCATTCAAATTGAAGTACGTGGAAAAAAGAACGATGAATCAATACTTTACCATGCTGTGGTGATCTTGATTTAAGTTGTTGAGCCAGTTCCACAGCCTTCTTCCAATTTGACTCTTCGCGATTCTTTTCTATCTCGGTTTCATAGCTGCGGGCAGCGTTTTTGCTTCTCGATGTCATTTTAACATGAGGGCACTATTGCCCAGTCGTCATACCATCTATTTAGTTGCTATCAATTCACTCGGACATTGCAAAACCCTCACAAATTGCGAGCGAATCCCAAGGAATTGAAGGCCAAATTTGACAGATGATGACATCCCTTAGGTGGACGTATTTAGCGATAGCGAGTGACCATTGATTTAATGATTTTTATCATCTGGTAACATTTTTTTCAAAAATAAAAATAAAAGATCTTTATTTTTTTTCAAATCTCACTGTATTTTCTGAATATTTTTATTTTTGAATAAATTATAAAGTCATTGTGATAATTTTTGTGAAAAAATACATAATTTGGACGTTCTACTCAACAGATGGCACTACACACATAATAATAATCCTAGATGGACATTGGAGCCTAGAACGCGAGCATATTACAGATTATCACTATATCTAGTCTTTACTAGTTGACAAAAGTTTAAATACCTGTAAAATAAATTCAAAATAGTTATGAAGATTAATGTATAGGACATTGTCGTTCGCATAATGGAATTAAAATAAATTTAAAACGTCAATATCCTTTACAATTACCGTTATGGAGACTGAATTCAGTAAACCAGTGATTCTCAACCACTGTGCCGCGGCACTTTTGTGTGCCGCCAAATTTCAAAAGTGTGCCGCCAAATTTTGCAAATTTATATAATAATGTTAATATTATTAAATTATATCATTTAAAAAGAAAAATATTTTTTGGCACTAGCCAACATTAAAACTAAAAAAAGATCAAGATTGTTAAATGTAGAAGACGATATGAGAGTAGCATTGTCATTTTTACGACCGAATATATAAATGAAATTATCAAAAAACATCAAGCTCAAATTTCGCATTAAAAATATTTTTATTATTAACTTGTAATTAATTCCTTAATAAACGTTTAGTTATTATTGTAGTATATATTAGTTTATTTCGTATATTTAAAATTTTTGTCATAAACTATTTATGCAGTGTGTTGTAGTAAGTAAATAATTTTTATCTTTTTTTTTGTTTGCCGCCAAATTTTGAAATCGTTAAATATGTGCCGCAACAAAAAAAGGTTGAGAATCACTGCAGTAAACGAATTCTTTTCTCCCCGTTTAGAAAAAATTGAAAACTAAGTATGTCAATTCAATAATAAGCCAGCGCCAGTAAGCGTTGTTTTTTTTTATTTAACAGTGACAAATGAACTGGCGGTTCATCTGATGTATTAACCGCCACCCATACACATCTGCAACACCTGTAGGGTTGCAGATGCGTTGCCACCACTTAATAAAGCTACCTCACTCACCAGACGAAACGCAGAAATGTGACACTTCTACTTCACGCCGGTCTTCTGTGAGGTCGTGGTACTATCCCGGACTGGCCTGCCCATTCGTGCAACAGCGAACACTGTTGCGTGGCCTGACCACAAGAAGTTTTATGTTGATTTACCATAATTAATTTAAATAATAAATAATTTATAGGGAATTTGAGAATCTGAACACATAGAAAAAGAGTTTTCTGAACGCACGCATAAAATGTTTGACAGATAAAATTGTATTATTGAAAATAAAATTGTTGTCTCAACCTTCCCTGGACACTATAAATATTTCAAAAATAGCCAAATCAATCAAAACTGGAACGATTGTCACCTTTTCCCAAAAAAATAAAACGCTGTTTAAAGATTTCTTTTAAAGTATATTATCGACAATCCAACGAGACGTTACACTATAATTAATTATAGCAGTTTAATTTAAATATGTCGAAGTGTGAGTAAAAAAGATTTGGTGAAAAAATAATTTGATGCTATTTATTTAATATACTTCTTTACAAGATAATGATAATTAAGTAGGTACATGTAACGGCTGTTTATTAAATATTACAAAAAAAAAAACAATAAACATTTCAAAATTAGCAAAATGCATCGAACAAACTGTTCTGTGTAGCTACTAGATCTGATGATGATGCCCATCATCGAATGTATGTACTACACATTTTGTAGACTGTATTTCGAGTTTTCGTAGTTATTTAACCGCACTTTGCCTCCCTCGTATTAATTAGGTCACCTCTTTCAGTTTGGAAACCGACCAAAAACTTTTCAGAAGAATTTTCGCGCTGTGCTCGCCTTGCATACTAAGCTTTAGAACGGCGCAATTTTTGTATTTCTATTTACGTATACGTCATACTGTATCGCAGATATCAATTTTATGGCACTATTTCATGTTCTTGTATTTATAGGGAAACTAATAGTGACAGTTTAGCATTAAAATGTGGATTTTTTTAATTCGTAAGTTTTTTTTTGTATTAGTACGAGCGGCATGTGTAAATTTATGGTTTTTCAAAAACTATTACAAACACTTAACAGTGAATAAAGGATATAATTAAATTCACCATGCAATAAAACAAAAAGATTTGTTTAATTATTCCTCTGTCGGCTTTTTTCTCATGTATTTTCAAGTTATTTCAAAAAAGGAGGAAAGAAGTTACCTCAGAACTCCGTCATTTATGAACCGGTTAATTAATTAACCCGCCCCGCCCATTCGTAAATTTGAAATGTTAACTGTTTAAAATGTATCAATAAATTAGTAAAAAACTTTTCGACATTTTATCTCATTTTGTTTCGTGCTAAGTTCAGAGACTAACACTAAAAACAAAATTATTAAACATCAAGATTTTAATTAATTGTAAAATATGCATCAGAAAAGTTTAATATATTTTTCCAAAATCTTTGTCTCAATGATTGCGTATTTAGACAAATTTTGATCATAGAGTAATTTAGACAAACTTTTATCATTCTATGTATATTTCGTTTCTCTTTTATTGGCAGTTATCAAACTCGATCCAAAACCGCAGTTTGTATGTATGCGAAAATATAATCTTTTAACGGCACGAAAGCCAAATTATATGGGGCTGAACGCCGTAATTTGCAAATCTAAATATAGTGTGACTGTTTGACATTTTGCAACTTCCTGAACGACGGCGAACGGCTTATGGATGGTAGTGAATGGTGGCGAGTGGTGGCAGGCGGTGGCGGGAGGAGCGGGTGGTGATGCCGCCACCCGGCACTGGGACGCGGTCTGCAAGGTCGCGTTGACCTTCGCAATCAACTGCTTCCAGGGCTGCCAAGGAGTCATCCATGTAAAGGTAAAAAAGTTGCTTCTTAAATTTCTGGTGGAATGAAACGTTGTAAATAGATAGATATTTCAATGTATCTGTAATAAACAGATAGATTTTTGTATTGATGTTCTTTCTCATTAAAACTAATTATATAATTATAACTTCACGATGGTGTTTCGGTGATGGAAGAAGTTGGAATTATTTTATTCATTTGTGTAACTTTACAACGAAAACAATCTGAAATATTTTTCTCCGTTTCTTCACCTCAAAAAGAGGCAAAACCCTTTACAGCGTTCGTGGTCACGGGACAGATTGAAACGTCGGGAATTGAAACTAAAAATAAACGCTATAAATCCGTAAACATAGTTTCATTCAGTTATATGTAATCGCGTACCTAAATAGAAAAAGTTATTACGTCTTTTGTCTTATGTCTGTGGGAACGTGGGCTGGCAACCCTGAGCGTCTCGAAAACCGCTCGTTGTGTGCAGTTTGATCAGTAATAAAGAAGCCACACAGGCGCGCCGTTTCCTTGTCTCCGGCTAAGCGCGTAAGAGGATTACTTCGCGGCGCCAGCCTTCGGGCGAATTCAGACACCGATGCAGCGAAAGTGGTCTATGCAATGGGAGCTATATCTTGCGTTACGCATTTGAGGGTCCTCGCGGTCTTTAAAAAAAGTCTGTGTGTACTTTTGTACGCACTTAAGAAGTTATACTTCATAAGCTTAACGAAAGAAAATTAAATAAACAAGTGGAATACAAATTTTAAAAAATAAATAGCTTATAAACCCGACTGCTTTTCTGTGTTTTTTTTTTATTTTGATATACCGAGCGTTACTCTCACAGTAAATACGAATCTAACGACACCACTCAAGCTATAATCCATCAAGCCGTTCAGGCTGCAGAGCGTGCCAAACAATTATACATACATACATATTCTCGTGAAACATTACCCTCTTTCTGGCGCAGTCGGGAGAAAATGTATAATTATGTACGAAAATAAGAAGTTATACTTCTTTAGCTTAACAAAAGAAGAATAAATAAAAAGGGAGCTTGTATGTGATATATTGTGTTACGCATTTGAGAGTCCTCGCGGTCAAAAAAAGTATATGCGTAATTATGTGCGCAAGTAAGACGTTATGATTCGTAAGCTGGCTATAAGGAAAATAAATAAAAATCTGTCCCCTGTACAAGTACTCTATTATTGTGAACAAGACATTAAATGCAATTGATAACGGTGTAATTAAATAATAATTTTATACCTTTACCGACATTCCTGACATACCGACATTCCCCTGCTTTGCAGCACTAGATAAAAAATTCATCGTATCGCACCGCTTCGAATTTGCTCCATCAACCATAATGATAATACCATCCAACTTCATAACACGTAGAGCCATAATGGCATACTAAAACTCGAAGCTATAAATTTGCCGAATAAGCCGAGCTCCGTCCCAATTCCGCTACGGAAAGTTTACATACTTCCAAATTGTATGTACTCTTCGGTAACACAATTTGCAGCGGGGAAGAAGGAAAAAAACTTTTAGCACCCTCCGGCTTATGCTTCATTTTGTTGCCGCGTTTTTATTATCCTCTTATTATTTTATCTGTCTGCCGAGTAAAATAGATTTTAATTTAACAGAGACAACGAAAACTCCTGCAAATATAAACGTTGATGAACAAAAGCTTTGAATATTGTTGCTTCTTATGTTCCGAACGCAAATATGTAGGTATCATAGTATTTTTTTCACGACAAGATTAAAAAATAACCGTTAAATATTACACTTAGGCGTTATCATAATAATGTACTTTTATAAATCTTTCATTCTGATAATTTTATTACATTTTGTCTGTGAATGTGTGTGTAATTGTGGCTGAAAATGAATTTTTTTTATATAGCATTTTTTAATAGCTCAGTGTCCGGGCGCTCCGCCTTTAATTCAATTCACTGAGCAACCTGAGTTCGATACCCGGTGCCAGGGAACCAATGAAATTGTTAATTTGAAGTCTGCTAATACGCAGTGGGGTCTTGCGGTGGACTATGCCTTGATACCTTATTTACAGAAGAGGCATTTTCCCAGCAGTAGGACATCTATAGGCTCAGCCCAGTAGTCCCGGGCTCATAGAATAATAATAAATAAATAATAAAATAAATTTCATCACATAGACGTTTACGCATTCTTATGAAACGTCGAAATTTTACAAAGAAATTAATACGTTCGTAAGTCAAAACGGCTTCGGTAAGCAGTTTCTGTTGAGAAGTAACCGACAAGAAACTCAACAGTTGCTCTTTTTTTTAATAGAACTAAGGTATCTCCTGTCTGTCGTAAAAGGCAACTAAAAGGGGACACGGATTGACAGCAGCTCGAAGTGGCCTCGAGCTGCTGCAAGATGGCGTTAAAATCGGGGAAGGTCATTGGAGTATCAAGGGTTATTTTTCAGGGTGGGCCTGGGCTTTAACTTAAAGAAAAATATCGAACCCTATGCGTCGAATTAAATAAGTAACAGTTCGTTATCATTAATTATTTTTATATTGTGTATTCACAAGTAAATGTATTGTAAAATAGTATATAATAAAAAATAAGTATGTACATCGATTTCTCAGCTGTAAATAATTGTTTCATTTCAATGATTTTTTATGAAGTTTCTTAGGTATCCAAGAATTTCGAATCAATAACCCAAAATCCTGGGGTGGGCACTAGACGATACTGGGGTGGGCATGGCCCACCCGGCCCCCCTGCTATATACGCCTATGGGGAAGGTAGACCCTTCTCCGAGGCAGGCTCACGATAGCCCAGTACTGAAGGACACCGGTGCGTTCCATAGGAGATCCCGGAGTCCCTATAAACATACAGAAGGTGGCCACCGAGGGGGTTTTACTGGGTAATTACCCACTATAGTATACCCCACATAACCCTGTCATATTGTAACGACAAGGTACCTTCCGGAGATTTCCCGCCCCGATACCAAAAAAGTACATTGACAGACTGTTAATTCACTTTTTTTACCATAAATATTTATTTAGATTTACCGTTTTATTTATTTTTTATGCGAAAGAAAAATAAATTAAAATTTATTATATTTTGAGCCCTGGCGGTTCACCTGATATTAAGTGATAACCATGGATATTTGCAACACCCGTAGGATTTCAGATGCGTGGTGGCAAAGGTGGCACCTTTTAATAAATTGGGCCTCGGTTACCTACCTGCCACTCATCAGACGAAACGCAGAAGTATAACTTTTCCACTTCACGCCGGTCTTCTTCCGACGGACCTGCCCATGTGCGCAACGCAACAGTTAGAGCTCTAGTTTTTAACCGATCTTACACTACGAGCCGTGATAGCTCAGTGTCCGGGCGCTCGCCTTTAATTCAATATACTCGAGCAACCAGAGTTCCATCCCCGGTTCCGGCACCAATGAAGTTTTTAACTTAAGTTTTTAACTTAGCTTAAGTGCTGACTTATCACGTGCTCCGCGGTGAAGGAAAACATCGTGAGGAAACCTGCATATTTTCGAAATAATAACAAAAAAAAAATATTTTTCGAAGATATGTGATAAGTCCGCCAATCCGCAGTGGGGCCGCGTGGTGGACTATGCCCTGAAACCCTCTGTACGGAGGAGGCCTTTGCCCAGTAGTGGGACATGTATAGGCTGTTACTTTACTTTACTTTTTTACACTACAGGTCAGCCCGGTTCCTCTTGGCTTCACCATGACTGACCAAGCCACGGCTACTAAGCCCCACCGCCATGACAACGCGAGTATCCGGTAGAAGCAACAGGCCCCAAGGCCCTACGTGCAAGACGGAAGCAATGCCACACCATAGCATACGGAGATTCACCACCCACTTCTTATTAGTCTGCGGATTATTAAAGTCATTTATCGTTGACGAGCTGAGCCACCTAGCAAATGAATTCAGAAAGGCTCAGTGCCATTGTCGAGCATATGGACCTGATTAGCACCAGCCAGTTGTTTACGACCAAATAAATTAACCCATGCCGGGTGACGTAGTAATAAATCCGAAACAGTAAATGTTGGATACAACAAAAACAGACCGAACCAATCCTTAGTCTGTGATTGTTTAATATTTTAACGCGACTCGATGGCTGTACATTCGCATTTGATGACTCCGGAAAAGTCGATGCCTTGCGGACGGCGACCAGCTATATCTACCAGCGTCAAACGCCATCTCTCGAACACCTTGATCCAGTTCACCTGTCGGCGGTGCACCACGCTATCGACCAACCACTATGCCTTTCCACCAGCAGGTGACTTATTTCAAGTCACACCAGAAGAGGTCAGAAACAATTAAATAAACTGAATTCTAGGTCCTCCTCGGTTCCAATAAAATTAGCCACTTTGTAAAAGTCTTCCCAAGCCCGCTGAGCTGTCTATTAGCAAACACTTTCAACGTTCTCTTCTGCTGCACTTTTCCGGCTTTCCGGAAAGAGGCCATAATCACTGGTATTCGCAAGCCGAAAAACCTCTTAATCAGGCCCAGCACCAGCCGAGCAGTCTTCTCAATCGCTTGAAAAATCTATACGAGTTAAAGAACTTTTTACACTCCAACAAACTTATCGAGGTTGTATAGTATAAGGTCTGTCATAACGCCCTATATCCCCAAACATTCACAAGAAGACCTCGCCCTTTTCGCTGCAAGCAAAATTCCTTTATGGCATTTTCTTTTTTACAAGGCTTGCGTACGACCCATAATGTCCTACGCTTGCATTCCTCTCGCGCATATTCAAACACACCAGATGAAACTTCATATAGTGCAAAATAAATTCATCCACATCGCAACCGATTTTTTTTTAATGTGAAAAGTGGCCAAAGGAGCAGACGGTTCACCTGATGGTAAGTGAATACCGCCACCCATGGACATCTGCTACACCCGAGGGTTACAGATGCGTTGACAACCTTTGGAAAATTGAGCTGCGGCTACCTCACTCACCAGACGAAACGCGAAGGTATTTGTCATACTTCCACTGTACGCTGGTCTTCTGTGAGGTCGTGATACTCACCCGGACGGGCCTGCCCATTCGGCTGCTGCGTGGCCCTACCACCGTAAAGCTAGTATCAAAGTAAAGCTGACAAGCACAGCGATTTAACCGTAACGCCATCACTACGGAGAGATATCAAAACGGTTTTTCTACGTTCTACGTTCGGAGTCACAGTTCATCAATCCTCTGGTGGCGAACGCGGCAAATTCACAACTCAACCCTAATGAGACGTTCGGAAAGGTCGTCGGCATGGCGCCCGCATCGACCCGGTCGAGATAAGTGTAGCGAATACACCGGAGGTCCCACCCGATATCTCTATACACACATTTTGATGTCACGCCCAACCAAAAAGTTGGACCTCACCTACGAATACGATGAAACCAACACGACCCACCCAATCATACCATACAGTTCCCTCTCAAGACCAGCCTTAAGAAGGACTAAGTTTTCTGAATCCCGACCGCAAAGCTCATCCCGTTAATGTTTGGCGATGGCGACACAGCTACGATTCTCACTCGCTATCCGCCCACCTCTCGTCCGTTTCTCATCTCTTAAAATAAATCAGGAAGCGTTTGGAAACTTCCAAAACATCCCCGGGATGAAATCCTTCGCATATCAATTGCTATGCAAGTGGTGAGGGGGCTGCGGTGCGGGGGAGAGGGCATGAATGACGCACCTGTGCAGCAATGCGGGTCAATGTCGGGACGCGGCGCCCCTCCCGCCCCGCAGGCCGCGGGGGCCGGGGGGAGGGCGCGGGGCGCGGTCCGAGAAGCAGGTCTGCCTTACGTAACCGCTAGGGAGCGTTTCTGACCATCCCATAAGTAAAACGCGATGAACATAGAAGATTAAGATGGTCCGATGTGGTCGTGATAGAGTCAATCAATACATAGTATAAAACAAAGTCGTCCCGCTGTCTGTCTGTCCCTAGTATGCTTAGATCATTAAAACTACGCAACAAATTTCGATGCAGTGTTTTTACTAGTTAGGGAGTGATTCAAGAGGAACGTTAATATGTATAATTGAACCCGTGCGAAGCTGGGGCGGGTTGCTAGTTAATAATAAATAAGGTACTTGGTGTGGACTTAAATTTGCATATGTATACCTAAATGTTATCATTCGATAATACTGCGTAACATATATTCTATTTACCAAAAACTAGCCGATAGATTGACTTGATGTTTTTTACAACTTAGCTTTTGAACAACAGAGTTTTTTATGCAGTTTTTATTCCGAAGTTCCTACGGGAACCAAAAAAGCTGCAGTGAAACGTAGGCTTAGTTAGTAAATAGATAAATTATTAAGGCAATATCGGATTCAATAAGCAGTAACAAAATAAACTTTCGTTCGGAGAGTAAGTTCACAAGTTAAAAGTTAAATACAAATTTTAATAATTTAAACTAAGATAAAATATTTCAAGTAAATAACAGTTAACCATCACAGATTATAGTTAGATGACTCCGTGGCGCAGTTGCCAAGGCATTGACTTCGGTGCCGGATGTCGTGTGTTCGATTCCCACACGGGACAACTATTTGTGTGATCCACAGATAATTGTTTCGGATCTGGGTGTTTGTCCGAGTGAAATTTATGTTTGTAAAACGTCCTTAAAACACAGAATAATATTATCCAACAGTAAGGGCAATATTTTGAAAAAAAAAGTTAAAGCGGCAATCAAACTCCTCCTCAAATCTTCTGGCAAAAAATTTGACTTGACATATGTTTTCTTGCTTAATATATTTAATCGTTAATATTTTTATATTATACTTTTAGTAAAGAAGATTACTTTTACATTTAAGTTTCAAATAAATTCATTAGATGTAATTAATAAAACACTTACGCCCGGTTTCTGAAACATTGATCATTGTAGAAATTAACTAATCAGCTGTCAAATGGCTGATCAAATGTCATTTGAGTTGCCAAAAGTACGGTTAAACTCTATTAAACGGTTACGGTTAAACTCTAGAATTCAGCCGATTAGTTAATTTCTACGAGGATCAGTGTTTCAGAAACCAGGCGTTAGTCTTCGGTGTTGTACGAATGGGCAGGTTCGTCCCGGGTAAGTAAAAAGACCGGCATAAAATGGAGGTGTTATGTTTCTGCGTTTCGTTTGGTGAGAAAGGTAACCGGGACCCACTTTATTAAGAACGCATCTGCAACTTGGGTATTGATAATTTCGATGGGTGGCGATAATCACTTATCATCAGGTAAAAACTTGGCTCTATTCGAGTAATTGAACAGCGTAGCGATAAAGTAGAGCTTTTTCGTAGCCATTCCGCAGTAGCCCTTTCGTAGAACGCAGTAGAACTGCGTAGAGCCGGCCGTAGCTAGTTATTGTTCGTGCGTCCGCCCGTTTCATTGAGCAGGGGAGTTGACCCCAGTGCCCCGTTGCGTAACACCGGATATAGGTTAGTGCAGGCGCAAGGGCGTCCTGTCCGATCGATAGCGGCCCGCCCCGGCCGCCCGCATTACGGCTACGCTCAATAAAACACCTATTCAACTGGTATTAAGTATTATTTCACCATAAATATCTTACACTGACAAAATACTTATACTGCAAAACTAAAATATTTAGTTTGAAAGAAAAGTTCACATTATATAAGGGAGTGCATGGATTTGCCTAATTTCTTACTTTTAAATTAGCCATCTGTAATTCAATCTTAGAAAGTAGCGATATTTTTGAGTTCCAAAGATTTAACATTTGATTAATAAAACATATCTTAACACTGAATGAATGAAAATCAAATTATTCACTGTAAAATTATTATACATTTACAATTACATATAATATTTATGTTATAGAATATAATATTTTATAAGAATACACGTAAATATTCTTCTAAGTTCATAATTCAATAATTAATAAATACTACATTCATTAGATAATTACTACTACATTTAGATGTAATGTTGTAAATATGGAATATGAAAATACATAAAGTGATGCAAATACATATTCAATTGAAATTAAATTTCATTGATATTTCAACAAATAAAGTTAAATGTTATCTTAACGTCTAATTTGATTATTATGAATTTATCGGACTTATGGAGTGGTTTATAAATTTAAAAGGTCATTGAGAAAATGGGCGAGCCATTAGCTGGTTTTGTATTACTCAATTCCTATCTATTTTGCTACTAAAATATGCTTCCACTAGATGGAGTGATGGCCTGCGAAAATGTTTTTATTTAATGTGAAAAGTTGTTAAGCGAGCAGGCGGTTCAGTTTTTTAATCATATCTTGACTATTTTACGGTAATTGGTAAACGCGGCAAAATTATAAACATTACATAAACATTATAAACATTACGCCGGTCTTACTTTCGTATTACTCCCCGGACAATGCCCATAATGCAACAGCCGAGGCTTTGTAGAAAAAACCCAAACATCGTTTTTGTTCGGGGGAATCGAACTCAGGTCTCCATCGTGTTTCATTTAGTCTTATTTGTTAAAGCGTCTGGGCGCAAACAGGTCGAAATGATGATGATGAAAGGAATATTCTTAAATAGATACATTAAAAGTCTTTTCGTCACAATTTTTTCTACAAATTTGACCTAGTCAGCTTAAATCTAGCGAGATAAGCTCATTATTTAAAAAATCATATTCGCCACCATAGCGAAATTTAGGTCCAAGGGTGGCTAATATAATCGTAATACGAGCTTTTTAATAAAACGCGTTTCCCACCAACTGCTGAGCTACGACAATGCACAATTTTCGCTAGCGTTAATGCGCAAAATTCGCTTTATCAGTTCCCAGCGAGCGCGACACAAAAGCTCTTTGAAAAGAACATAGCGTCGAAATATTGTATAGCGCGCCTCGGCTGCATATTAAAGTCAATGGAGCTAGACGGGCTTGGGGCGCGGCCTTGGCACAGCGCTCCCCATTGCACTGCATAAGCCAGGGTAGAGTCAGCGAAACAGTTCGTCTCGAATTTTGTTACGCTAATTTAGGCTCTTGGGTCAAAACTGCTTTGTGAACAGTGTTTTATATAATTAGTCCGAATGAAACTTATGAAATAAGCCTATTTTAGCTGGATTCGGATGAACTGAAGACGCAAAATACATCAAGATATATACGGATAGGCAAATTTATTATGCTAATATGCATAACATTGTTAATGTTAAACCTTATTAATGCTTAATCACAGTAACGTTGTTTTATGATATAATTTGTTTAACTTTTTAAACTTATCCTGTTAATGCGTTGAGCGGTTGAACTGATGTAAATAGAAATAAATACATCAATCTACACTACAATTAAAATGTGTTAACTTAGAGAGGAAACAAAGACATTTTTTTTAATTAGCAACCAATATAAAACAATAGAATTCATGTTAAAGTTACCGTAAAAAGGACCTTGTGCTCGCGGGGTACTCCGTTGCCACCGAAAGGCATATATTTAAAAACAATGTTGTCACTTAATTAACGTATGCATATTAATTTACAATTTCGTCCTTAATTTTATGTTCGGATGAATGAACGATCTAGTCGAGGGTCGTGGGTTCGATTTCCACACAGGACAAGTATATGTGTCACCCATAGGTATTTGATTCGGATCTGGGTGTACTCTTCCAAAGGAGGGCTGACGTCAGGTTGGCCGGTCGTAAAAAACCTAGCCTAAAGCACTAGCAACATGATTCATGTGTAGTGTTGACTCCACCTAGGTGGGATAAGGACAGTAGGATGATAGTAAAAAAATAAACATTCATAAATTTAACACGAAGAAAAAATGCTCGTTTTCCTCCATTTCTGTAAAAAACCAGACCAAGTGCGAGTCGAACTCGCGCACGAAGGGTTCCGTACCATTATCTATAAAAACGGCAAAAAAAAATCATGTCTTTTGTATGCGAGCCCCACTAAAATATTTTTTATTCTTTTTTTTAGTATTTGTTGTTGTAGCGGCAACGTAAATACATCATCTGTGAAAATTTCAACTATCTATTACGGTTCATGAGATACAGCCTAGTGACAGACAGACAGCAAAGTCTTAGTGATACCCTTCGGGTACGGAACCGTGAAAAGAGCGAGAAATAATAATGATAAAAAATTTTTTTGAAACACGGTATAAACTATTGAACATTTCATAAACTTTTCTGTTTACTATTATTTCTGAAAGAGCCAATCGAAAGTAGATGCCTTTTTGACGGCGATATTTCGTACTGAAATACGAAATGGCGCAATTGTTTATCTAATCCATACTTTTCCTTACTAATATTATAAATGCGAAAGTTTATATGTATGGATGGATGTGTTGGTGTATTAGAGTTGAAAATGGACTGTATGTAGTGCACGGGATTATTTGAATAAAAAAGACGTGTTGCAGCTTGCTAGTTTATTGCGCGACTGACTCACTCAAGTACACACCAATATGATAGTTAACTACACGACAAAAAAAAAATTATTTTAGCGTCAACATACCGCCCACCAAAAGGACTTAAGGTCCTTTTCCAAACACTTTAAATTTGTATAAACATCACAAAAATACATTATGTACTAAGTATTAATTACAAACGTAATGATTTAAACCTCAATATACATAAAGTATGTTATAAGACAATGATTTAAATAAACAATTATACAAAATAATATGAAGGTAAGCGAAGTGTATGTAAAACTAAAGTTAGATTTTAAAAAACAAATTGCAGGTAGGCGACACTATTCAATATGTTTGAAGCGTAAACAACATTATGATCAGTTAGACTACTTAAACTGTGAACATTTTCTAAAGTTAAATTTTTTATAAAGCTTTTTGTTAAATTTATAATTTATTTACAATTTATGGGTAAAGCACATAATTTAGTTATAGTTCTCTTTGTTATCAAGCTGCCACTTTTTACACTATAAACCCGGGTTATATTGTCTGAGCCGGGATGTTTGCCGACGATTCGTCCCAGGGACCATTTTCCCGGTGGTAAGTTATCTGTTTTAATCAAAACAACATCACCAATCTGGAACTCCTCCTCTCTTTTAAGCCACTTGTTTCGCTGCTGTAATTTCGACAGGTATTCGTCTTGCCACCGTCGCCAAAAGTCGTTGAGGAGTTTTTGTGTATGCTGCCAGCGTGACAAGTTAGATGCTTTTATGTCTTTCATGCTAGGTGATGGAACGATGATTGGTGCTTCTCCTATCAGGAAATGACCCGGGGTAAGTGGATTCAAATCTCCGGGGTCTGTATCATCCAGTGGACATAGTGGCCGAGAATTCAAGCAGGCCTCAATTTGGCAAAGTATCGTTGTCATTTCTTCATATGTCAGGTTAGTACTTAAAATTCTTTTCAGATGATATTTGATCGACTTCACGCCGGCTTCCCATAATCCACCGAAATTAGGACTATAGGCAGGTATAAAATGCCACTGTGTTCCTTCCGTCACTAAAGTTTCTGCTATATCTTCCTTAAACTGTAGCTTAGCATCATTTAAAGCATCCCGCAATTCTTTATCCGCTCCAATGAAGTTCCTTCCCTGATCACTCCACAGGTGACTGCATTTGCCTCTGCGTGCCACAAACCGCCTAAAGGCTCCAATAAAGGCAGCTGACGTTAATTCTCCGACTAATTCAATATGTATCGCTTTAGTTGACAAGCAAATAAAAATTGCAATATACGCTTTTTGCGTTTTGTTTCCTCTGCCCTTGGACATCAAAATTTTTGGATCGGCCCCGCAAAATCCACACCACTTTTTAGGAACGGTCTGGAAGGAGTGACTCTCTCTGCTGGTAGGTCACCCATTATTTGAGTTCTGGTTGTAGCATTAAGTTTAGCACATATGAAACACTTATGGATGTATCTCTTTACCATAGATTTAGCCTTTAATATCCAATAAGTATAGCGTAGGTAACACATCATCAATTGACTTCCACCGTGAAGGGTTTTCTTGTGAGCGTCAGCAATAATTAAAGGTGTCAACGCGTTTTTATCACCCAAAATTATTGGATTCTTTCTATTCTCAGGTAAGTTAGTATGTCTGAGCCGACCGCCCACCCTGAGGATGTTATGTTCGTCTAGGAAAGGGTTGAGGAATCGAATTTTGCTTATTTTCCTTACATGTTTATGATCTTTTAATCTTTGAATTTCATCTTTATATTCTTCTTCTTGTACCTTTCTCACACAAATCATCAGTGAATCGTTAATTTCTTGTGTAGTGACCGTATCATCTATTTTGCTTAAATTCCTTTTATGGTTGAGTAACCTTCGACAGTAAGTAATCGCTTTTAAAAGTTCGGTTAAATTAGTAAATAATTCAAATTGTGTAGTTATAGACTTTTCTTGTTCTTCGGTGTTAAGGTAAGTATTTATTTTTATTTTTCTTTTTTCTAATTCTGTTGATATTATATCTTGTTTATTAATCTTAATTTCTTTTTCAGATAACCAGCTGGGACCCTTCCACCACAAGTCACAATGCTGCAGGTCGGAGAGCAACAACCCTCGTGATGCGATGTCAGCAGGATTATCATTTGACAGGACATGATACCAATGTTTGTTATTTAGGTTCTCCACAATTTCTACGACGCGGTTTGCGACGAAGGACTTCCAACGATTGGGTTCACCACACAACCATGCGATGACAATAGAAGAATCTGTCCAAGCAAACATATCCTTTGTTGGTATTCTCATGGCTTGACCAATTTGTTTCATGACTTTTGATAACAACAGTGCACCACACAACTCGAGGCGAGGTAAGGAAATTGTTTTTAATGGTGCTACTCTAGTTCTGGCAGCTACCATTCTTGTTTCAATCTTGTTATCTGTATTTTCGGTTCTTATATAAACTACGGCAGCGTACGCTTTCATCGAAGCATCGCTGAATCCATGTAGTTGTATTTTTCCTTCCTTTGTTGCATTTTGTACCTAGCCATCTTTGTATCTTTATCGTGTTCACATTTGTAAAGTCCGATCTAATTTGCCGCCATTCTTCTTCCAATGTCTCACTTACTTTTTCATCCCAACCGACTTTTTCTAGCCACAGGTTTTGTATGAGTAATTTTGCCTTAACTGTACTTGGTGCTATCCAACCTAGTGGATCGAATAGCTTTTGAATGTCTGATAGGATTCCGCGTTTTGTTATTTTATTTGTTATTGGTGGTAAAGTCGCATTATACTGGAAGGTGTCTGTACTAAGATTCCATACTATACCCAGTGCTTTGATTGAGCCATCAAGATTTAAATCTAACTGTGCGTTGGTTGATCTTTTACTTTCGTCGATAGTTTTTAAAAAGTTTATATTGTTTGATGACCATTTGGTAAGTAGAAAACCTCCCTTTTGTAAAATGTCTGAGACGTCTTTAGCTAGGCTTGTAGCTTCTTCTACTGAATCAGCACCATCCAGATAATCATCCATATAGAAGTTCTCATTTATTGACTTGCAAGCCTGTGGTCTTCCGTTTCCTTCATCAATCGCTACTTGGCGAAGTGTTCTTACAGCCAAACTGGGGCAGCAGATGTGCCGAAAGTAACTCGAAGAAGTCTATATTCCTGTAGATCATCAGTTTCATTTGGTCTCCAGAAAAGTCTTTGATAGTCAGTGTCTTCCTTTGTTACTAATATCATACGATACATTTGTTGGATGTCAGCCACAAAGCATACACGTTTCATTCGCCATCTAGTGAGTATATTTCTTAAATCTTCTTGGAGCTGTGGACCCACTAACAGTTCATCGTTTAAAGATACATTGTTCGAGCCCTTGCAGGAAGCATCGAATACAACGCGTGTTCGTGTGGTCTCTTTATCGTTGCGAATGACCGCGTGGTGAGGTAAGTAAACTGACCTTTTTCTTTTTCATGTTCTGGGATTTCTTCCATATGTTCCTTTTCTAAGTAATCATTAATAGCCTTTGTGTATTCTCTTTTCAGGTCTGGCGATTTCCGAAATTTTCTTTCTAGTTGCATGAATCTTTGTT